ATAATTTTTTAATTTTTTTTGTTCTAGTTTCCATTATTTTTTAAATTAAATTGCCACTTGCCACAAAGCTGTTTTTGTTGAACATAAACTTTTAAGCAGTTGTTTGGTACTATTTTTATTATCAATTATTATAGATACTTCTGAAAAGTGCAAGCAAGGTAGTGTAAAACAATTTAAAATAACGAATAATTATTGTTAAAAATGAAAAATATAATTTGACAAGGAGTTGTAAATATTGTCAGTATTCATAACAGGAGACCTTAAAGAAGAGAAACAAGAAAGTTAAGAAGTTATTGTATTATTATGAACAGGTGTGATAATGAAAATTTTTTGCTACAATAAAATTATAATGTGATGTTAAGAAAGCATGAAAATGTGACAGTATTGGGATGAAGGAAAGTGACGGAAGTTGCATTCCATGTTATGATTGCAGGCTTGGTTAACTTGGGACAAAATGTTGAATAAGGAATAATTGTGTTATATGTTTATGAGTCCTTAAAACTAAATTTTGACAAATTGAACAAAGCTGTATTGCTTGTAAATTAGTGCTATAGACATGCATAATGTACAGGAACTAAAGAAAGAATAAATATTCAATTACTATAAATTTATGTATTTATTGATGGAGGTCAAGTGTGAAATAAAGTAGGTCAGAGAGAATGGAGGAGGGAGGGAGAGAGAGCGTTATGAGTATCTGACAATGTACATGTGCATAACAATTGAAGGATCAATTTACTTGATAACATTAATAAGATAAGGAAGTATGGAGACATGGGAGGAAAGATAGAAGTAGGTATATACATTTATTTGTGGATGGTAAAGAAATATGAGTGGAGGAGGATAAATGTACATAAAATGAGAATTTTCAGAAGGGTTTCAGCTAGTGGGAGATAGTGATTGAGGTCTAAAATTTGAATAAGCTAGAATAAATAGCTTTAATTAAATTACAATGAATAGTTATAAGATTGATGGGTGTGGTGAGAGTGAATGTGTATATAAGGGGAGTGAAGATATAATGTAAAGGAAAGAGAGGAAAGGAAGACAATGTTTTTGGCAGAGGGGGACAAAAGTAAAAGTGATGACAAGATGAGTGATGTAGAAGCCAAGGCTGTAAGTGTAATTTGTTTGTGTGTGTAATTTGCTTTGGCTATAGAAGTGTGAGGAAATAGAAAAGGAGGAGAGAGAGGTAAAGGACATAGATGTAGAAATAGAGGGATTGCAACAAAAGAGACAACTTAAAGTGTTGCACATCACATCTTTGAGACTGGAGCTAGTGAGTTTGAAAATACATAGTATGGTAGTATTGACTATGCTATTGTTTGTTCATAGACTATGAACGGTAGAATTGGGCCTCCAATGCCAGTGATAGAGAAGAAGAGGAAGAGGATGAGGAAATAACTGAAATAAACTGTCATTTATAGATATTTTTTAAAAAATACATTTTAATCATTGACAATAAATATATATATATATATGCCTGTGAGGATGCTAAATATGTGAGTAAA